TTTTTTTTTTTTTTTTTTTTTTTTGAATATAGTTATTTTGAGAGAGTGAGCAAGTAAGTGTGAGTAGAGAAGGGGAAAAGAAAGAGAGTTCCAAGCAGGCTCTGCACTGTTAGCCCGACATGAGGCTCAAACTCACCAACTGTGAGATCACCACCTGAGTTGAAACCAAGGGTCAGATGCCTAACTGGCTGAGCCACCCAGACGCCCCTATTCAGCCCTTCTAAATAAAGGTGAGCAGCACCCGTCTTTTCTTTCCTCCACTCCTTCTATGGTGGATCCTGAGCACTTCCTGCCACCGGTCCCCAGGGACTGAACAAGCAACACAAGAGAGATCTCAGCCTCATGGGGCTTCTGTTTTAAAGCCACCACTCGAACTGGGGGCTGCCCCTGGGTCCTTAGGAAGTGACTGCACTTCCTGTTTGATAACTCACAGCAGTGAGTCAACTGTACCCCAGGGCTGAAGGGATTTTCCTAGGGCAAGTACACTAGATGCTATACTAAAATGACAGTCATCTGGCAATCTTCTTTACTATTTTAAGGGGGAACCCCAAATGTATGCAAGAATTACCTGTTAACTTTTAGACACGCAACTCCACTCCACTTCATCAGTGAATCCCGTGAAGAAGCTAAAAGCTGCAAAGTGGAAGCAAGGGCAAGGCCAGGTCCAAAAACTGAACAAGGGCCCCCAGTAGAAGGTGGCGTGCTTCTCTGCCTTGACCTTGGGAAGAGTCACAACTGCCCAGGTGGCACATTTGCGGGGCAAAAAAGGTGGTCGAGAAAGCCAGCCAAGGTTAAATGACACCAGCTCAGAGACATACAAATTGGGAGTGAAAATCTCCAATCCCAAACTCAGAGAATAGCTCTGATTATTGAGGTCCCAGATTTCAAGTAACCACAGAGCTGTCAGAATAGTCTCTTCTCTAGTGGAATCTACAGTGTGAAATAACAGCACCTATTCTAGCACAGCAACAGCACATGCAGAGAAGTGGATTAGAACTCATCTGTACAATTCCTACCAACATAGAATTTTAAAAACCTCTTCCAAATCATTATCTGGAAGACACCCCTAACTTCCACAGTAAAGGGAGGACAATAGGACAGCAATCCTCACCAGAAGGTGCTGGAGCCATGAAAGGACTTAATGATCACCATCAGTAATGGCCACAAAATTCATCAAGAGGCTACAGAATAGTGATCGAAAAGCAGTCAATCCAGCAGAGAATCTGCCTGTCTCCAGACTTTCTAATGTAGGTAGAATCCTCTGGCAAAATAGAGCCAATAGACACTAAAAGGGCAGACAGTCTATCTCAGAAGCCCTTGTTGCCAACCTGAGTAATGCCAGCCCAAGGTCACGACTCCATGAAGAAGTCTGCACCAAGTGTGTTTGCAATGAGCTAAGCTTCTAGGTCCATCACTGCCACTCAATGCCCTAAGACCCATTTCTTCCATTCCTGTGCTTCAAAAATAGCAGCATTCATTTCCTTCCTTCCCATTCACTCCTCCACACAACAAAATCTGGCTTCCACCTTTCCAAAACTGATCAAAGATCTTTGGCAAGTAAATATGTCAGTTCTCTTCATTTAAAAAGTAAAAGCATATGAAAA